CAACATCCGTCGGCCTCCTTAAAGGGCCACATAAATTTCAAATTCAATTTTTGGAATCACATGTCGACTTTTCTATTGTGGACAATACAGAACTCCCCGACATCCGTCGGCCTCCTTAAAGGGCCGCAGAAATGTCAAAATCAATTTTTGGAATCACATGTCGACTCTTCTATTGTGGACAATACAGAACTCCGCAACATCCGTGGGCCTCCTTAAAGGGCAACAGAAATTTCAAATTCAGTTTTTGGAATCACATGTCGACTTTCCTATTGTGGACAATACAGAAATCCCACGCGCGCGCGCGTCGGAGTTCTGAATTGTCCACAATACAGAGGGTGACCCGCGCGGGGTCGGGTCACCCGAAATCCTGTCGGTCACCTTAAGGTGACCGACGGGATTTGGGGTGACCCGACCCCGCGCGGGTCACCCTCTGTATTGTCCACAATAGAAGAGTCGACATGTGATTCCAAAAACTGAATTTGGATTTGTTTTGGAGTTTTGCATTGTCCACAATAGAAAAATCGACATGTGATTCCGAAAACTGAATTTGAAATTTCTGTGGCCCTTTAAAGAGGCCGACGGAAGTTGGGGAGTTCTGTATTGTCCACAATAGAAAAGTCGACATGTGATTCCAAAAACTGAATCGAACATGTCTGTGGCTAAGGAGGCCGACGGACGGACGGGGAATCGTTCGCGCCCGCGAGGGCACACATCATCATCATCATCATCATCAGCATCATCATCATCATCGCCATCATCATCAGGGTCAGTATTCATCATCATTCAGGTGGGCCGAAGGCTATTAGATGATCAAACAGAAGCGTCAAGAATTCGACAGTATGTGCTCGTCCTCGGGGGGGGCAGGGACAGAGAGAAAGAACACGACGCGACGACGATGGAGCGGCGACGGCGGCGGCGGCGGCTGTTTCGGCCGCGCTCCCCTGCTGGTCGTTTCGGCCGGCGGCGGCGGCGGCGGCGGTGGCGGCGGCGAGACGTCGACGGCAACGGGGGCGCGGTGCGAGTGGGGACTGCCCGGCGGTGCGCCGTTAGTGACCCTCGCACCGTTGCTCCCCGGCCCCGCGCACGGCGCGGAGAGTGCCCCTTGTTGGATGAGGGTCTCTCTCTCGTCCCTTTCCTTTTCGAGGCGTGTTCGTGATTCACCTGCGCGCTCTCGGCACTGTCCTCACTGTCCCCCTCCCGAACAACTTCACCATGATGTCTCCTTCCTCCCTCCGCCATCGTCCTGATTCCATTCATCGGCATTCGTGCCTCCGCCACTTCCGTCTGCGCCTCCTCCGCTTTCTCCTCGCCGTCGTCCGAAGATGCCCGCTCTGACGTCCGAGGATGCCCGCTTCTTCTGCGCCTCCCCCGCTCTGACGTCCGAGGATGCCTTCCTACATTTCTCTGACGTTTCCAGGCCTCCAGAGGCCTTTGCTGCCGGGGGCCTCCAGGGACATCCAGGGACATCCGGCGACCTCCAGGGACCTCCAGGGACCTCCAGCTGCGCGGGGAATATATATATATATATATATATATATATATATATATATATATCAACAGCGCCCTTCTTCAGCCAGCGCGGCGGCGCTCGAGCCTCGGCCCTGGCGGATCGAGATTTTGGGAGTTCTGGCTTTCGGAGGGGGGCCTCCTCGTCGTCGCCCCAGCTGGACGCAGCCCGAAACGACGGTCATGGGGGGGCACGGCCGAAACAGCTTTTAAGCTCACGAACGGCGGGGGAGAGCCAGCAACCCCCCAGGGGGAAGAAGAAAAGGGGGAAAGAGGGCGGGCAGCACGTTGCACCGTAACAAACAGCCATTTTGGCTGAGTGCTGGGAGCGGGCTCCGCTCCTCCTGTCCTCTCCCCACACAGCAGCGGCCAGCATCGGCCGCCGACCGCCGCCGCCGCTGCCATGCCCGTGCTGGGCGTCGACGTGGGGGGCGTCGCGTCTGGGGAGGGCGACGACGGCCAGGGTGGTCGTCTGGAAGGTTCTGCCAGGTGTGCAAGCGCATGGCGCACTCGGAGGCGGCGCCGCGGCGGCCTGGCGGTGGCGCCCAGCCCGCCGCCAGATTCGCCGCGGCGCCTCCGCGGGGCGCGCCATGAGCCTGCGCGCCCCCAAAGGCGATGACATCTATATGGCTGTGGAGCACGGGTTCTGGCCTTTTGCGGTTCTCTATGCGGCTGAGTTCGGCCTGCGTGACTTCCACTTCATCAGTCGCACTAACCGTGGCACGTGGCATTCTCGCCATCATAGGTTGGGCCAGGTGGAGGCTTGGGTCGTGCGGCTGATCAGGAGCACAGGTCTGTTCGAGATGGGGCTAAGGCAGATGAACGTCCACCTGACCAAGCAGAAGAGCGGGCCTGATGGGAAAGGCGCTAAGTGCGCTGACGACCGCGTGGTCTTGACGCACATGATCGACAACGACCTCGAGTGCCTGTGGAGCGTCATCCACGAGGCTGGCCAGCAGCAGGCCAACACCATCAACGCCGTCATCCAGTACACGGGCGTCAGGGCCGCTGGGTCTAAGTGGGACCCCGACGACGACGACTTGCTGCTCAGGATGAGCACGTTCTGGGAGGTGGCTGGCGCATTATTGTTATTGGAGGGGGCGTCAGGGTGGGTATGTGTTTTGTAGCTCGGTGATCTTCATCGTCGTCGTCGTCGTCGTCGTCGTCGTCTGTCGTTGTCGTTCGTTTGTCGTTCTTCGTCGTTGTCGGGGATTCCCCTCTTCTTTTTTGGAGCCCCCTCAGTAATAATAACAATCCGCTAGCCCATGGAAGGTCGCGGACTACTTCGGCCTGCCGAACATGGACATCTGGGACCAGCTGGCGCAGCTCGGGCCGCCTCATCGCCCCGCGCCGACCGACAAGACGCCAGAGCAGTTGATCGAGCAGTGCCGGCGCCGCTCCAGCAGGGTGCGCCGTCGCCCGCCGACGGAGGAGCTCGACGACGACGGCGACATCATCGACGGCGACGACGACAATCGCCCAGATGGTGCTGGCGGTCGCCCCCGAGGAGGCGGAGGAGGCGGGCGGCCCGTGACGCCGCCGAGGAGGTCGGCGGCGTCCACTCCACCGCCGAGGAAGGCAGCGCCGAAGCTGCTGGTGGCCAAGAAGGCGGCGTCGCCGCCGTTGGTGCCGCCGCCGACCCACCTCGCCGCCGCGCCGCCCGCCAGGGGGTCGGTGGCCGCCGCCTCGGCTGCATCGGCCCAGACTGCGAAGGCGGCGGCGGCGACGGCGATCCCGCTGCAGCCTCAGCAGCCGAAGGTGCCTCCTCGTCCTGGGCGCTACGCCATGGCGACGCCGCCGCCGACGCCAGGGCGCCCGTCGTCGTCGGCTGCGGGCGCAGCAGCGCCGGCAGCGACGATGACGCAGCAGGAGCTCCAGCATCAGGTCGAGATGCTGCAGGCGCAAATGAACACCCTGATCGCCTTGCAGATGTCGCCCGGGGCTGCTTCGGCGTCGTCGTCAGGAGCTGCTGCAGCGGCAGCCGCGTCTCCTCCTCCTCCTGAGCCTGGGGCTGCATCGGCCGGGGGGGAGGAGTGGCAGGGCTGGCAATCGGCCACGCAGCATTCGAGGGCCTGGAATCTGAAGAAGTTAGCTCGAGCACGGGCCTTCGGAGCTGGCGCGAGGCCTACAGGAGTCCGCACGGCGCCTGCGATGACCATGTGCGCCCAGTGCAACAGCAATCAGCCTGGCGCATACTGCGTTAGGTTTGCGTGCAGGGTGTGCTGCCAGAGGTTGCAGGAGTCGAACCCAGACACTATTTGCGAGCAGCACCGTGCTTGAAACAAGCACTGCCGCGTCGTGTGCTCGACCAGCGAGCGCCCCTGTAATTTTGCGACCTGGACGCGCGTCAACAACGTGACGACTGCGCGGTCGCCGTATAGTCAGGGGGGTGCACGCTATTCTTCGCTATAAGTGCGCAAGTTACGACGAGACGACTGCTGAGATCGGCGCTCGACCCGTCCGTGGAAAAATCATCATCGCCATCATCAGACATCAGAGGGCGATGAATGAATGAGGATGGCGAATGAGGAGGAGGAGGAGGAGGAGGCGGAGGAGGAGGAGGAGGAGGAGGAAGAGGAGGAGGAGGAGGAGGAGGAGGAGGAGGAGGGAGAGGCAACAGCAGCAGGAGGAGGGAGGGCCGTGACGAGGAGGGATAGCGAGGAGAGAAGGGTTGGAGGGTGGAGAAGGGGGAGGAGAGAAGGGTTGGAGGGTGGAGAAGTGGGGGGAGAGGAGAAGGGGGGGCCACCCGCCAGCAACAGCGGCCTCCTAGCCAGCAGCGCCCCCTGCAGCGGCGGGGACATATGCCCCCACCCATCCGTTCAACTACGTCAGCTGCGCCTCCACGAGAGCTCCATGGGTTATTGGCCACGCCCATCTTCTTTGTCTGCATGTGATTTGCGTCAGCTGCGCCTCCAAGAGAGCTTTCTGAGTTCTTAGTTACTTCGGGATGGGCCTGAACATCTGGGCCACGTCAGATTCTGCCTCTGGAACGCTTTCGGGACAACAAGTGGCCCATGTGGGTTGGGCATGTCGATTGGTCCGCGCACTCCTTCCATGGTCGGTCTGCTCTGGAACTTGGAACCCTGCCCCGTCTCAATTTCTACCACTTTGGCTGTTTCGGCCGAAGGCCAGGCCGGCTGCGTCGGCCGGATCCTGACGGCCGTTTCGGCCAACTCTCTCTTTCTTGCCGTCGTCGCGTTCGTCGTCGTCTGTCGCCGCCGCCGTCGACCCTCGCTCGCCGCCGCCCTGCGCCTTCTTCTTTCGTCGTCGTCGTCGTCAGCGCTGCTGCTGATCTGCCCGTCGATCGATCGTCGACCCCCCGCTACCCTCCCGCCTGCGGCTCGCCTCCTCCTCCTCCCTCCTCCGCTTCCTCCAATTCCATTTCCATCTCCGCAACCGTTTTGGTTCAGTGTGTACCGACGCGGGCTGTTGCGGCCCTTCAGAACGAACATAACGTGTGGACTCGTCGACTGGCAGTGGGAGTTACGCCAGTCATGCCCGCTAAGGCGGTCAAGCGTGAGCAGAAGGGGGCTGCCTCGGCCCCCCCGCCCATGAAAAGGGCAAAGGCGAAGGCTAAGCAGCCGGAGTCTGACCCTGCTGGTTCGGCAGGAGGTGCGCAGCCGGAGGCGCCGCCGGAGACCAACCAAGTCGTGGGCCCGACGCTGGACATCATCACCGATGCTTTGAACGCCATCAAGGGGTCGCCATTCTTCGCCGACCTCGAGAAGAAAATGCCGCTGACCATCGCCCAGGGCGGTCGCCAGGCGCCGTTCGTGAAGGAGGATTGTTCTGATGCCCTCAGCCGCGGATCCCCCTACTCATGTGGGTGCAACCTCTTCTGGCAGAACTTCTTCTGGAGCTCCAGCTACCGCACCCCTGTGAACATGGGGCAGGTCAGGGAGATCGTGAACTACCACCTTAAGAGCCCGCCAAATGTCTTCCCCATGAACACCGTCTTCGCGGTGGACAGCTCGGACATGGACGTCACTAAGCACCTGGGCAGTTTGCAGCGCCTCTCACCAATCGAGCCGCAGCTGGCCTTGCTCATGGCCATCGCTGACGCGGTAAAGCAGCAGGCGGAGGACTCCATCCTGTCAAAGTGGATGCAGGTCGTGCTTTCGGCGCCAGTGACGTTCGAGGTGGTGTTGCCAGGTGACATGCGGTATTGGCGCGCCCAGAACATTCGGCAGGAGTGGATCGAGCATGGGGAGACAGCCCAACTCACCGTGAGGCAATGGGTGTACGACATCGTCGGGTTCAAGGCGGCGAAGGAAAAAGAGCTGGAGAAAACGTTGGGCGCCAAGGACGTCAGCGAGCTCTACGAGAAGAAGATGAAGTATGCGCGGTCTACTGAAAAAGTGAAACCAACCTTCGTGGATAACGCAATCACAGTCCACAAGCGGTTGCTGTCCCTGGAGGCGTCCAATCGGTGCCTTGTCTGGGCGGACGAGAACCTGATGAACAAGTCCCCGTGGAATAGCCTCTACGCGATGCACGCTGTGGTCGAGCGCGCGTCGACCCCCAACAAGATCGATTGGGCGATGATGGGCCTCACGGATCATTACCGCATGGCGCCCCGGGGGTTGTTCTGAACACCCATCGCTGCTCGCGCCAGCCCGTCGACGACGCGTCGTCGTCGTCGGCGGGACGGCGCGAATCAGCGTTGGGGAGGGGTCAGAACCACCAGGACTTCATCAACTTAGGCGAGTTCGGTGTCAGCAAGCTCAGGGACTACAGGCAGAGCTACGTTGAAATCTTGAACATGAAATACGACGTGAAGAACGAGCTCTTGTTCAAGTGGCTTCCGCGCACTGGCATCCCAACCGAACACGTCACATTGATGCAAGAGAAGATGAATACCTTCGACGCGGTGCGGACGTACGTCAGTTCCTACCCAGGGGGGGTAGTCGATACCACGTGGCAGGCTCTGATTAGTGTTGGTGGCAAGCAGTCGGCTGTTTCGGCTGTCACGCTCATCGAGGAGTTGGTGTACACAACCGAGTTCGACTCTCGCTACAGGAACGCCGTCCAGTCGAAGCTCGAGGCGGCGGATTTTCTCGCCTACGAATCGATCTCCACGCGCATGAACGAAGTCATCGAGATGGTGCGGAGGGAGAACAATGGGGGGCATGGTACTACTGACACGCCGGCCGCGGCTGGAAGTGGCACGGGCACCCCTGCAGCTGCCGGGGCTGACAACCCTGCGGGGCAGATGACCGCAGTGGCGGGCGACAGGCCCGCGGAGTTGAAAAACTTCGACAAGCTGCCAGAGATGGACAAAACGAGTTGGAACAAATTCATCGACAAGCTCATTCGCACGTACGTTCAGATCGTGCCCGACCAGAAAACGGCGGCCGAGCTGGAGACCATGCTCCGGGACTCCGCGCTCGCCACCATCAAGGGTGACCCCACGGGGCTGGTGCTGTACCACTTCGACGTGAAGCAGTTCGGCGAGCCGCTCACCAGGCCTGAGCTGCGCATTGCGCCCCTCAGGGATGGCCCGTACCACCGCCTCGTGCGGACGATGCTGAACGCGAGGGCGCCTCAGGGGCAACTAGCCCATCTCCGCAATGGGGAGGTCGCAGTGATTTTGGACGGCGGGCGGAGGGGCAACGCGACCAAGTTGCTCGGGCCGTGGAAGGAGAACACCATCGAGACGAAGAAGGATACACCGCCGAGCAAGGGGCGCGGCTGCGATGAGCCCGACGATGACGATGATAAGGAGGATGACGACAACAGCGACGCTGAGAAGAAGGCCGGCTTCAAAGCTTCGATCATCCAGCTCGCGTACACGGAGGAGAGCCTCAAGAAGCGCCGCAACAGGGTTCACGGAGGCACGGGGAGCTTGCAGCAGGTAGAGTGGGTGCACATGTTGGCGCACTCGCGCATTTCGGTCCCTGAGCGGCGCCGCAAGCACTTCGAGGGCAGCACCGCGGGGGATCTGATCAACGGCATCGAGCTCCCAGAGTTGAGCAAGGAATGGCACGTGACGTGGAAAGACAAAAAGGCAATATACGGGAAGCGCAATCTGATTGCGGTGGGGGGCAAAACAGAGGGCATTCAAGGCGAGGCCGAGCGGAAAACCGACTCTACCGTTGTCCCCATTTCCTACCACGGCATGCCGCTTCTCTTCTACAAAGAGCTGCTGCACATGTTCTTTGTCAAATGCGTCCTCGACATGACCCCGCTCAACGCGAAATTCGCGTGGGCTTGTCTCGAGGAGAGGGTCGCATACGTCGGGGTGGCCTTCACGAAAGAACACATGGAGAAAATCTACCTCCACCTGGCGGAGCTCGTGAAGAGCGCGATGGCGGATCCTGGGTCCAAGCTGTTCAACAAGGAGTACGCGAAAGCTGTCGGCAAGGAGGTGGCGCCGACGCCGAAGGTACAGCCAGGGCCGAAGCGCCGCAGCCGCCGCAACACCGGCGCCGCCGCGGCAGCGGAGGCCGACGCCGGCGCGGGGGAGGGCGGCGGCGGCGATGGTGGTGACCAGCAGGAGGGCGGCGGCGGCGGTGGCGGTGGTTGCCAGAGCGGCGGCTTTGCCGGAGGAGATGATGGGTTCGACGACGATCCCGCGGCAGAAGGGCTGCCTGGCGCTGACGAGGAGCTCTGGGACCCTTTGCAGGAGGATTAGAGCTGAGGTGCAGTCAACCTGCGAGGACGAGTCATGCGATCATGATGATTGAGAGCAGCCATTACCGTAGTAGTCATCGGCCCAATCAGATGTCCCTGTTTGAAGTTCAGAACCCCATCCCCCGCAATGATGATGAGGATTATGATGATGATGCGTGAGTTTATCGGTTTACCCAAGCTTTGGGACGATGGCATTTTTGTAGCTGCGTGCGTTGCGTTTGTTGTAGAATAATACCGTCTAAGCTGACATAGGTTTCTGGCAGCATTTGCGCGCGTTTTTTAGCATCGCTGATTCGGCGGGCGCGCCGGGCAGGCTGTTTCGGCTAGCCCCAGGCCCCTTCTGTCCTCGCCAGCGCATCCCACCATGACGGATGGCATTGCAAAAAAACATGCATGGCTTCCGCCGCCCGCCTTGGCTCACTCATGCCCTCGAGCTTCCATGTATTGTGCTTTTCCAATCGGAATGTTCGCGCGGCTTTGGACGTGATTGGAGTTGGACTCGGCGCTGGATTTGAAAGAGGCACTTAAAGCACACAGGATAGCCGTGACAACCTCCTCCTCATCATCCTCTTCCTCCTCCTCCTCCTCACTATCCCCTCCTCCCCCCCCCCTCCTTATAGCTTCGAAAACGCCCGAACACTTTACTGCAACAGATGATGCTCGCAAACACGCCCAGACACTTTACTGCAACAGATGGCGCTCACTATGCGTAGAGGTTCTGTTTCGAGTATTGGTCAAGGCCTTTGGGCTCCGCCGCCTGCGCCACCGCCACCGCAGCTCGCTGCCGACCTCGAGCTGCGGTAGGAGAGGTCTGTCGGGCAATTCGCCGACGGCAGCGAGCTGCGGCAGGGGCTGGCGGCCCCTGCCGCAGCTCACTGCCGACCTCGAGCTGCGGTAGGAGAGGTCTGTCGGGCAATTCGCCGACGGCAGCGAGCTGCGGTAGGGGCCCGCGGCCCCTACCAGAGCTCACTGCCGACCTCGAGCTGCGGTAGGAGAGGTCTGTCGGGCAAGTCGCCGAGGGCACCGCAGCTCACTGCCGACCTCGAGCTGCGGTAGGAGAGGTCTGTCGTCGCGCGAGTCGCCGACGGCAGCGAGCTGCGGTAGGGGCCGGCGGCCCCTACCGCAGCTCACTGCCGACCTCGAGCTGCGGTAGGAGAACTCTGAGAAGCCCCCTGTCGCGCGAGTCGCCGATGATGATGGGGGGTGGGGGGGGGGGGGGAGGAGGGGGTGCGAATGAATGGCGGGCCCGTCGTCGCTCGCGGCCGACGCTCGCGTTCGTTGCCGCGGGAGCTGCGCAAGGAGCTTACTAACAGTCGTCTCTGATCGCAGCTCCCTGTCGCCAGGGAGCTGCGGTAACCAATGTTCGGGAGCATGTTGCGAGACGTCTGTTCGGGGGCCCCCGAACAGACGTCTCGCAACATGCTCCCGAACATTGGTTACCGCAGCTCCCTGGCGACAGGGAGCTGCGATTAGAGACGACTGTTAGTAAGCTCCTTGCGCAGCTCCCGCGGCAACGAACGCGCGCGTCGGCCACGAGCGACGACGGGCCCGCCATTCATTCGCACCCCCCCCCCCCCCCCCACCCCCCATCGTCATCGGCGACTCGCGCGACAGGGGGCGTCTCAGTCAGAGTTATCCTACCGCAGCTCGAGGTCGGCAGTGAGCAGCGGTAGTAGGGGCCGCCGGCCCCTACCGCAGCTCGCTGCCGTCGGCGAATTGCCCGACGGACCTCTCCTACCGCAGCTCGAGGTCGGCAGTGAGCTGCGGTGCCCTCGGCGACTTGCCCGACAGACCTCTCCTACCGCAGCTCGAGGTCGGCAGTGAGCTGCGGTGGCGGTGGTGCAGACGGACCACCCCCGCTACCGCAGCTCGCTGCCGTCGGCGAATTGCCCGACAGACCTCTCCCACCGCAGCTCGAGGTCGGCAGCGAGCTGTGGCGGTGGCTACCGCAGCTCGCTGCCGTCGGCGAATTGCGCGACAGACCTTTCCTACCGCAGCTCGAGGTCGGCAGTGAGCTGCGGCGGCGGTGGTGCAGGCGGCGGCGACAGTGGCGGGGTGCCAGCGGATGCGTTCGGGCGCGGCGTTGGTAGTGGGAGGGGGGCCTTCATCATCACTGGGTGCTTGGCAGGTGGGCTGGGGGGAGGAGGGGCCGAATGCATTCGCAAGGCCCCCAGCAACGAGGCCGCGTGTTCTGGACTTCTGATGTGGTTATCGGGCCCCCCAGCGGGGCCGCATCAGAGGGCTCATCCAAGACATATAGGATGGATTGGCGTTCCGCCATCTGCCGTGTCATGCCTGCAGTTCGCGCGGGGGCCGCGTTGTTGGGGGGCGACGGCGGGGGGATCATAAGTTACGGCGTTCCGAAATCTACCGCGTTGGTTCCCCCTCAGTGGAGTTGACAAATTGCACAGCGAGCCGCGTGGCTCGTTCCTCAGGGGCTTTCGTTTTACAAGGGGCTCTGGTGGTCTGACTGGCGGTCCCGACGGCGCTTGCGACGCCGAAGAGGAAGCAGATGCGTTCTTACTTACTACAGACATGTCATTCCAATGTGCTCTGGAAACGTTGTTCCGGAGCACTTTAAAGTGACCCCCCCAGCAGAGGGCGACGAACTAAGGTTTGATTCATCTGCAGCTGTTTCGGCCAGAAGCAATAATACTACATACACAATCGTGTCTTCTCTTCCTGCCCGCCTGTTCCCCCCGCGCGATTCCCCGCGTCGCCGACATGGGGAAGACGACAGTCAATGCTGGGGTGAAGAATACTGCTGGCGGGCAGCCGAGGCAGCCGCGGCGCCCGAAGGTCCTGAAGTTGGGATCTGATTTCTCGGGCGTCGAGACGGCGTCCGTGGCCATGAAGCGCATGGGCATCAGTCATTCCCTCGAGTTCGTGAGCGAGTCTGATTCGGCGTGCATGTCAGTCATCAAGAAGAACCACCAGCCGGCGCACGCGTTCTCGAACATACTGGAGCGCACGGCCGCGGAGGAGACTTACGCCGACGTGTACGTGTGGACCCCTCCTTGCCAAGACTTCTCTGCTGGCGGCAAACAGGAGGGCGTCAGCGGCGAGCGCCGCACGGGGGACCTGATCAAGAAGAGCATGCAGTTCATAAAGAACAAACGGCCCCGCCTGACCATCTTCGAGAACGTCCCGACCCTCATGACCAAAAAGTTCGCCCGCATCCTCAAGGGCATCGAGGAAGCGCAGAAGAAGCTTGGCTACGTCGTTCACGTGAAGAAGCTGAACAGCAAGGACTTTGGAGTTCCCCAGTCGAGGGAGCGCGTCTATGTTGTCGGCGTGCGGCAGGACAGCGAGATGCATCCGTTCACGTGGCCGCAGAAGCAGGCGACGCCTCCAGTGACTTCCATCCTGGAGCCCAAGCGTGCGACCGACGTGGCAGGTCGGCTCCCCAGCAGCAAGCGCAGCCGGGACCTGTGCAAGGCCGCCTACAAGAAAGTCTGCAAGAAGAAGACGGGGGTGGACCCGCGCGTGACCCCAGTGATGGTCGACATCGACTGCTCCGAGAGGTTCGCCACGCACGGGATCAACATCGCCAGGACCCTCACCAAAACCCGTGGCCAGAACGGAGGTCCGTGGGTCTCCAGCCGCGGGCGGCGGGTGACGCTGCATGAGATGATGCGGCTTCAGGGTTTCGCCAAGAAGGACATTCCACAGGCTGAGCTCAACCTGTCGGACCACCAGATCGGCGGCATGGTCGGCAACGCAGTCAGCGTGCATACCATGGGCGCCATTTTGTCGGAGGGGCTCCACAGCGCCGGGCTGACGAAGACGAAGGTGCCATTTCCCTTGCACTATGAGTGGTGAGTGCAACTTGATTGTACCGCATGTGGTTTTGCGATATCGGCCCAGGCTGTTCCGGCCCATCGGCTGCATTTCCTTCTGTCGCTCTTAGGTCAAGGAGTTCCAGCACCTGGCCCCAAGGAAAATGACCGCTAACATAAATAAGGCCCTAGTGGGGCCTGTTGTGTTTTGGCGTCTCTGATGCGGTTTGTTGATGGGTAGGCTCGCCACCCATGGTACATGTTTGTTGATGGGCCAGCTTGCTGGCCATGCCATTTCTTACTGTCACGCGCCTTATCCCATTTCTCGTAACCATTTTTGCTCAAGTCTCATGTGTCTGCACGGCCGACAACGATTATTGCTACCGCCAGCCACCCCGATGTAGCTATGGTGGCGAAGCAAAGCAGCAAGTCATCCGACAGCAGATTCGCCGCGGCGACTCTTTGGAAGAGACTCTACCCTAAGTGGTCCAAGCGGTTCCTGGTGGATCCTGGCCGCCCTCACCTTGGTTCATGGTTGAGTAGCAAGTGGAAGGACGGTAAAGGAGTTGGTTGCGCGTGCTGCCATTGGGCAGGCATCAACAGCCCGTTCAGCAATTTTCAGGCTATGTCTGTGCCTGCGCTCCAGGCTGCCAACTTCGCCAAGCACGATCGGAACCCAACTCACAGGGCTGCTGCTGCGGCTTATGCGCAGATGCAGGCTCAGCAGCGTTTGGCTCCGTCTCATTCGCAGATGCAGGCTCAGCAGAGTTCGGCTGCATCGGCTGAGTTTCTGCAATGCCCCAGCGAGTCTGACTTCCTGGACGTCGTGAAGCTGGTCGGCAATGGGTGCGGCCTCGAGACCAGAAAGCACCGTAGAATATTGTGGTGCTTGCAGCAGGCCCTGAAGCAACGCGACATGAACATCATCAAATCAAGTGCAGCAATTTCCCTTTTCCGTGACGAACGGAAGGGGCGGCTACTCGTCCGATTCAGATGCGTCGGGCACGACCTGTCTGAGTTCTCAGGGACATTGGGGCAAGCTCGTGGCTTTGGGACTGGAGCCGCGGCAATCACCAACGCTACAGAGCAAATTATGGTCAGAGCGTGCACTGAGCTGCACGGACCCCCGCAGGGAGCGAAGTGCACCCCCGCTCTCAAGCAGGAGATTCTGGAACATCTGAAAGCGCGGGTGTTGTGTCTCACGGTTGATTCTGCGAGCGATGAGCTTCTCAGCGCTGAGATGATGCGATCGGCTGCCTTGAGTGCCGCTGCCC